ACAAAGGTACGCAGCAATGCGATGGCATATTGATGCGGCGAGCGCAGACTGGGACTCAAAGTGTAAGCGGCACCGTTATAGGTGATAAGATGCAGGCGGTTCTGGCGGGACCCCTGCGTGATGGCGGCGGACCTAGTTGCAGTTGCGTGCAACAGGTGGCGCTTTACTCCGAAAGGGGTCTATTCACAAATGCAAGTCCGGCTTCAGGGCGCTGCCATCTTGCTCACTGGGGTGCGCTTGGATGCTTCCTAATCCGATTACGAAGCCTTGCTAAGGCGTCATAATCGGATTATGGCCTCGCCCAAGCGCACCCCATTTTGCAACATGGCAGTGCCCTGAGTTGCTCAGGGCTAGAGTTCCTGTATACACTCCGTGCGACGCGACTGGCGCGCCGCCGCGCGGCCGGTACCGAAGGTAGGCAGTGAGGACCCCAGAGAAAACGAAACCGAAACCACGCCGTGGTACGCATTGAAGTCGGAGTGGTGCGGTTGCGCTGGGTTCGCAGCATGAAGTGCTGCCTGTGCTGCGTCATTAAGTGCTTCAATAGTTATGCGTCATATCTCGTGGAGACAAAGTTTCACAGTTTTTCACCTCGCCGATGTTTTGTGGGACCGCGACAACGATGGAGCCGTGCCCTACGACGCGAGAAATTTGGTCTCCCGATCATGTCTGCCACTGTGTCGGCACGGCTGACATATTCTATACTGCCGCTTTGCGCTCTGCGTTTGTATTCGTATCAGCAACGCATACATATCTCAGCTCGAACTGAAATGCCATCCCACACTCGCGGGTATCCAGTGCGAATTTCGTTGAAGGAATGCCCTCGAAAGAAGTTTCGTCCCCAACGTACGTGTCGATGACATTTCCGGACAAGTATGGCACGCAATCTGTACTTCATGAAGAAAGATTCGAACGGTAAAACAAGTGACAAATATAAATCTAAAGAAAAGAACAATGAAACTCGGAATCACTGGAGAATCGACGTTTGAGTATGGAAGTTTATGTGGTGTGCTTCCTTTCCTGATCAGCCTCCTTTTGGATGTGGATACGATGACACCCCGAGTTCTTTAGACAACAATTTTTTTTTCTCGGCTTTAGAGTCACCTATCGCAAAGTGGTTCGAACTGGAAGTACCGTTCACTGGTCCCTTCCTACCTGTAAAGTGTGCACCTCCCACGATGAGTGGTATTATCTTGACAGCCTTTGACGATCAAAGCCAGTTCCCATTTAGTTACGCCGCCCAAACTAAATTTCCACCTGGTTTCGCTATGCCAACTCTTTTTGTTATAATAAGTGTTGTGCCAAGTGACGGCCATGAAAAAGTACCCGTGCACCGAAAATCAGCACCTCGTGCAACAGGCTATTACGCAACAGCTGACAGCAAAAGCCCTTGGCGGCCAAACCGTGTGTTGGCCGACAAATTTGTTTTCTCGGCTTTGGAACCACCTTTCGTAAGGTTGTTTCAATTGGAACTACAGTTCACTAGTCCCTTCCTACCTCTAAAGTCTCCACCTCCCCCGACCAGTGGTATTCTCTTGACAACCTTTTCATGGTCAAAACCGGTTCCCATTGAGTTACGTCGCCCAAACCAAATTTTCACCTCGTTTCCCTATGCCACCTTTTTTTTTTTTTTTTTTTTGTATAATAAGTGCTGTGTCATGTTACTGTCAAGTTCAAGCACCTGTGTGCCCAAATCTGCACTTTGCACAGCCCGCTATAACACAACATTTTGGGTCCAATATTAGATATCCCGTGCAGCTTTATTTCTTTATTCGTTAGAAACATAACTTTCACACCTGCTGTCTTAACGAAACTTGGCACTCTTCGTGCACAAACTTAGTGAATATCTCACTCGCCTTCAAATATCATCGTTCCAGCAGTCCTAGGTTTACACCGACGAGCGAAATAAATTTCCCACTCAGAGCAATATGGTGGCGGCCGTCTTGTTTTTCGGAAAATTGCTCCAACTCCTTCTTCGGCCGCAACTAGAGAAATTACTCCTAATAACGACTCAAACTCAATATATAAGAAGTGGAGAACAGCTAAATGCCCTTCTGCCCCAGCACTCATGCAACGTCACCCCCAACTTATCGGCTCAAAAAGCAAAAGTTTCGTCCGTGCGCGCCTCCACCGCCACAGCTTGCCATGCGAAAAGGCGCCGCAGGCTGTCGAACGCGCCTCACAGTCGAACGCCACTTCCTCCGCTAGCGGCGCTGCGCGCGTTTTTCAAAGCGCCCCCTATAGTTCCCGCACGGAGTGTATAGACCGTTCCATTAGGGTCATAGCAGAGAGGGTAAAAGAGAAAAAAATGCACTCCCCCTCTCACCCCGCGTGCCGTGCGCTCCGCCGAGTGGGCTGTAGCTAGCGTCCGGCTGGCGTGCAAACTCTGTTTAAAATCGCGTCAATTTGAAACTTTCTAGCGCAGATGCGCAGATTTTGGTATGCCAGTTGTCGTGTAATATTATGCTAGATAAAGAGACTCACAGGGTCCGATTGCGCTGTTACCAGCGTGCAAATAAAAGAAAAAAGAGGGAAAACTGTGTCAGATTGGCCGGTCTCTTTGGCGAAAAGTAAATCCGGTTGCTGTATTTTTTTTTATTGTACAAAGTTCGTACTGGGTGTAGGCCTTTAGCGACCATGAGTGGAAGTCTGAAACAATAAATAAAACGTGCTCTCCTGCCGCAACACACGCAATAGTTGAGGGTAGTACTGCCGGCTGACTCAACTGCTATTTAAGTAACGGAAAAAAGATATGCTTGTTGATCATTTCGCAAAATAGAACAACAGAGAGCTATAGGCTGATTTTGGAGTAGCCACAACTATTCTAAGAACGCGTACCACTTCACAACGGCAGCCACGAGCGAGAGTTCGATTTTCGGTACAGCCCTCCGATACAGTCCAAAGATGGAGAACGGCAACCTCCCGGTTTGTTGTCGGCTATACTTCGTTTCACCTTCGGTCCGAGCGTGGCCGATGCTATGAGCCGAAGGGCCAATCAAACAGCGCAAAAAGCGCAGCGTCATGGTGTGCTCTCTGCGCTTGATAGGACTAGCCAGCGGAGGAGCGCGCACAGAGAGACGGCGAATACCGGCTGGTCCTATCAACTGCAGAGAACACGCCATGACGTTGTACCTGTTTCGCTGTTTGATTGGCCCTTCGGCTCATAACATCGGCCGCGCTCGGACCGAAGCTGAAACGAAGTATACGCCTCGCAAGTGGGCTCATTTTCGTCTTCTGCGCATGAGAAAGGAGGCGCGAAGGCGGGAGAGGAGGTTGATGACGATTCGGGCTAAGCTCCGCCCTCGCACATGTCGGGGAGGCCGGGGGGTAAACAAACATCGGCGTCGGCCATGGCGGCCGTGCTGTAGCGGCGACCGCGAGTCTTTTGTTTATTGTAGCCCGGTTAAAATTTGCCGAGTCCACAAGATCGAGCAGCTTTGTGCCCCTTACGATTCCTCCGTCGTCTGCTAGAAGCATTTCGAAGATTCCAAGATGAAGACGACGAAGAGCATCAAGAGAAGGCGCTTGCCTAGCCTCGCGATTGAAACGCCGGTTGCGCCGGTCACTGCGAGACCGCCGCCCGATTGTACCGGTAAGTTGCCTTTTATCTTGTTCTTCCTTTACGAACACAACAGATTTTGCCTTCTAGGAGGTCTGTAAAAATCTTGTGTGGCGGAGTCGATAGGCGCTATTAATCGAAAAACAGCCGAGAATGTGGTGTTTTCGCGATCCTCCGAAGCCCATTTTCGCACGTGATATTTAGGAATTTCGACTCGAAACTGCACGGAGGCCGTATAAACTATGTTCCGTTTCACTTTAAATGCGATCGAAGTTAAATCTACATGGGCGAGTCCCGAGCTTTGATCATAGCTGCCATGTGCGACCTTGCAGTGCGTTCTCGCGTTTGTAATTTTCTCTTCGTTCGCACTTAGATGAGACGCAGTATAGTCATACATCGTATTTGGTATAGTAGTTTCAGTCTACGGTTGTAATCATGGCACTGTAGAAAAGCACAGAGCTCAAAACTTACCACAAAAACGCGATCGTTTTTTTTTTTTAACGCGATCGTTGTTTTTTTTTTTTTTTTTTCAGGAATGAAGTTGGAATGGCTGTTACGTGTAATACAGTGAACCAACTCGGACAGTACAAATTTGCCGTTTCACATTACCCAGTATGAGTGAATTGCCAACGAAGTACCGATGCCGCCTTTCTGCAAAATGTGTTGCGCAGTGTATCTTCGAACCACATCGACGCTGTCAGTGTCTGACGTGTTTTTGTGTGTCGCTTGTCTCCTTTTTCGTTCCCTTACCAAGATGAAAATTCGGATATCGTGCACTATCCAAGCCTAGTTAATGAGCGCCCCATGGAATTGACACGGGAGTAAACAATGGCTAACATGTACATATTTTTGTTTTGATCGCTCAGCAGACTGGGCTGAGTGTGTAAGTGATAAACTAATATCATTTGTCATTTCTAGGTCCCAGATGGGCTGTTGACATCCAGAAACACTCCAACAGATGGTGGTCATACAGCGATTGTGAAGAATGTGAAGACAGTCCCATTTGGATCCAAATTCCTAGTCCACTCATTGATAATCTTTCCTTGTTGCATCAATGCCCAAGTATGCCAGGCACTGAGTGACTACTCGCATGTGTTAGTGATGGTGGCTTGCGAGGCTTCAGTATTGTCGCTGCAGATAGGGCTCACCCCCACACCAAAGCTGTTGGAGGTGTACCTTTCCATGGAATTATTTGGTTGATCCCAATTTCCTAGAAAAGCCAATATTCAGTTTGGTGTGCCTTGCGGCTGAAGTAGATTCATCAAGGAGGTCTCGTCTCTTTCCTGGGGGTAATACCATGTCAGCTGCTTTGCATGAGCCACTTGGAAACTGTTTGGACCGCTCTAAAGCACTTGTAATTGACCTTACCTGTTGTGTCCATGCTAATGCTGAAATGTAAAGTTCACTGAACCAAGTTTTACTAATGAACCATAACAATCAGTGGAAAGGATGAATGGCTTTATTTGTTTTCTCGAAGTAAACACTGTTTCATACATAATACATGATGCTGGCAACGCTACTTTCATTAGCAGACAACTTAGTCTACACTCTGTTTCACGATAGCTTGGTGAACCGTGGAGGCTACGGCTCCTGCGACCCAGTAAGAATGTCGGAGCGAGGCACATGGCAGCATGTCACAGGAGCGTCCGTGTCACCGCGCCAAATGTAAGGACCACCCACCAGAACCGGCTGTCAAATGCTCAGAAACCAAACGAATTCGGATGGACGTCCACTGCAGCAACATTAAGGCCTGTTCACACATGCAGCGGAGCGCTACAAGCATAGCGCTGACCTCGCGCTAAGCGCGTGATGACGGGAGCGTTCACCAGCTTTGTATCGCACCGTCGAAACTGTTGCTCATGGCAGACAATAAGTAGCTGACGGCACGTGAGGAGCGCTTCGCTGCATGTGAGAACCGGCCTTTACCGTCCGCTAGAGTAGCGAGGTCTTCAGTAACACTTTTATGAGGCAACCACATGCTCAATTTGCCCATGAATCTGTGGCGGGTGCTAATGCTAGGGCGATGTTTAGAGCGGAAGTGGTCGATTCACGGCTACAATTGTTTGAACGTCGATCACAAGCCATGTTTTTCTCAAAGGTGTTGATATATATTAAGTGTCGTTAATAAGTAACATATGTCTTAGTCTTTCTTCAGTGTCATGTAGTGTTGTGGTTCGAAGAATCCGACGGCAACACTACTAAAAGAAGAAGAGAAAAAAAAAAAAAAGCCTAGAACTATGTTTTGTCGCAGATGGCGCTCGTGCTGTGGCGATAACGAGGACTCGACCGTGGAATGTTGTCATGTGCCTGGCTCCGATGCTCTTATTGGGTCACAATGTTTGCCAAGTGACCGTGAAACGGAGTATAGTGTCTCACCTGTACACGCTATAAAACAAATGAGATGCCAGGTGTAGCCACTTTTGCAGCTGTAGCCCTTATATTATTGCTTGCTATGCTGTTTGGAAGAATACATAAAAAGATTAGCTTACAAAGCCAAGTCTAATTTTTTGCACTCTTGCATGTTACGAAAATAAAAGCATCACGCCTGAACACCAACATCTGTCTCTAAATTATTCCTTGCTGTAATTAAAAATAAATATACTGTGAATATGAACCAATACAATCTCAAACAGGTTTAAGAATGGATTCATTAAACAATTACTTCAATCTGCAAGCTTGAAATCAAGTATGCGTGTGCAATAAATACCCTGGTCTTTCGACTATCCCCGTTGACACTTGTTCTCGAAGGATAGGGACTTCGTCGATTTCACGGCAGTTCAAGCATTGGTCAGGCAACATGCTCGTGTTTATAGTTTCGGCTGTGCTATAGGAATAACAAAGGAGAGTCGTGTATTGCCGAGTCAAAGCAGAACTCTCGGGTCTAAAAGGCTTCTTAAAAATGCACTAAAGCTGGTTTTGACTTTATAATTACATGACTCGAACATAAACTACTCACTTCACCAAGTCTAAGGATTCACAAATAATCTGTGAACATGTATTCTGCTTTTATCTTCATTCACTTATGAAACTGGTTGCGTATATAAAATATCCAATCAATCTTCCACACCTCCCCATTGCGAAAAGGAAGAGGGAGATTCGTTGGCTTTTTTTTCTTGCCAAAAAACAGAAAAAGAAAAGGAATAGGTTTCAATGTGCACATTACGTTGAAGTGGGACAGTTACGGAAACAAATTTTGCATCTTCAAAGTTCATGAAGTAGGCAGATTACTTTCAAGTCATAAGAGAATAAAGTCAGAAACAACTTCAGCTCGCCTTCAATCAGATTTTCCCTTTAATCCAGGGACGTTTCACCTTCATAAGGTCATCAGTAGCAATTGGCATCCATTTAGGACTCTGTAATGGTAGATGTACAAGCTTGACCTCAAAGTCGCAGTGCCCTTCTTTCATGTGCTTGCAGTGCGACCCCCTCGTGCACTTGGTCCCAGACGGTGAAGCTGGTGCTGGACAGGATGTCGTCCCCTGTAAAAGAGTCGTCCCAGTAGTCAAACGATCCGGCTACACCCTGAGCAGCGTATTTGTCCTCCCATGCCATTACCAACTTAAAATCAGTGAAAGCCTATTTTGAAGCAACAGAATGCATAAATGAACATGTCTATTCCATTCCCTTCGTACCGAACACCTGCCAGAATCCAAGGGATGCAAATCAAAATAAATAACATTGCATTATTTGCTCTTTTGAGACTCGAACTTAAACCAACTCAAACACTACCACAATTTTAAAGCTGGGAACTTCGAGGACACCTCTCCATATACTGAGATTACATGCTTGTCCCACTCCTGGCTTGTCCTCATCCTGGCTTGTCCTCAGCAGGGTTGGCCAGCGTGTTCTCATACTTCTGGGTTTTTAGTCTTGGAAGTTAAAGCTTTGGTTTTTGTCATTACTTGGTTGCTAGTAGATGCTGGAGGAAGCTCGTACTGTTACTTTGAAACATCAAGTTTACAAATTGAGCACTAACCCATATTGATGGCCAGATACAGAAGCTAGATTTGTCATGTCAAGGAGGTTGTCATAAAACAGTGGGCACAGGACTGAAATTAGCGGCGGAGCGGGCAACCAAGGTGCATTCGGGAGTATCGAAGAAGACAAGGTGTGTGAGTTTTGCGCGAAAGCAGGATGATCGGCCAGAGATGTGAGAATGTGGCGTCGAGAGAACTTCAACCGGGCTGACTTCATGACTGTTATCTGAGCCACATTAACCAGAAGAGAAGAGAGCGTAACAAGTGAACGACGCACTACGGCCGAGGAGGCAATTGACCAGGTTATTTCACCCAAGAACCACAGTAGTCATTTCAACGACCAAAAAAAAACGTCCAAACATCAGCACAGCAATACCAGCAGCGTGCCGAGGAATCGGGTTGTGTGTATATTTACACAGTCTCAAACTCGATCTGCCTCGACGGGCGATGACTCTCCCAGCTGTAGATGACCGCTAGCCTGGGGCCCTTAACATGCATCACGTAGTAGTGATACACGACCGCACGCCGGTACAATGCTCATCCAGATCGAAACGGGCAAATGTGGGGCTTGAACACACAATCCTGGGTTCTGCAGCGCGAGCTTTCACTCCACATTTTCCGAGCTGGTGCGTGGAAGCCCCCTCGGCCACCAATCCCCCGGTGCCAAGGAATAACATATAATAAATGACAACGGTACAGTCGTCTGCAAAAGGTAGCTTTTCAGTGCCTTGAGCAACCAGGTTGAGATAATGTGACACTTTCCTGCCATATGTGGCTTGCAAAATAGAGATGTATAAGTCATAAAGCGAGTAATATGAATTTTTTTTTTACTAAAGATATCAGCATTTGTATTTGGCTTCCACAACTTCTGAAAGCTACCTCTGAGTGCATAGAGTGGTTTCTTCATAATCTTACCTCTATGGAGAACTTCCCAGCTGGTAACGGGGCCGTGAAACGCAGACCCCCTGGAAGTCGCACAGGTGCCGAGGGCATTACACGAGGCCTGCAACATCTCCTCCGAGCCCGGCAGCCGGTGGATTCTGTTGGAATGATGGGGTAGGGGGAACACAAGCACTTGCAGATTAACGGACCTAAGAAAACCAGTAGGCAGGTACGAAAACATGCTACTCGCCCCCGCAGCGTTTGCCTCACTGGCGCTTTATGGTGAAACAAATCAGCGGCGAGCGACTGATGGAACACGCATCAGAAGAACAATGCGTCTTGAGTGGAACACCTTAGGACGGCGCTTTATCGCGCGCGTGAAGCGTTGGCTTAGCCAGGTTTTTTTGGGGTCCATGTCACATGAGCGAATGACATTTTAGTGAACAGCGACATTTGAGCGAATGGACGTTTTAGCGAATAACGGGGGCGCGCGTTAACCCATCCGCCGCGCTGCGCTTTCGCCGCTTCGCGGCGACAGTCTGCGGCGGATCATAACAAAAATGTGAACTCATTTGGCCCACCCGAAAACGCCGCTTTGCGGCGTCCGACTATTCGCTAAAGTGTCATTCGATGAAACGTGCGCGTTCGCTAAAACGTCATTCGATCAAGAGAGTGCCTCCCATCTGTCGCTGGGGGGAAAGACTAAAAACAGACGACTGCGCACTCGGCTCGGTCGTACCACACCGATCGCCTAATCCGCTGCTTTTCCGTAACATTCCGTTTTACTTAGCTATACTCCTTTCACGTGCAACTGAACTGTTTGTGAATGATGCGAAGTGTACAGAGACGACGTAACTCACCTTAGCGAGCGCCATGGGGCGGTTCTCCGGGTGCCAGCGCTGCGGGAGATCGGCCTTCGAAAGCTCGGCAGCCCGTTCAGCTCGCCGAAGAGGGCTGTAGCTACACTTCGGTGCTTCACGGAGACACCGAGACACTTGCTGGCGAAATGGGGTCTCCGCCAAAAAGTAGAAAGGCTCACTCGCGTCGCACATCACCGTGCTGACGTTGGGGGGACTCACATCAACATCCGACCGCCGGAGACCGGGACGCATATTGGTGCTTCGTATGCTCCCAGGGTAAATTCTTTCGCGTCAAACGAAGTAACGTACATTTCGAGGTATTTCCGGTCTCTTTTTTCCGTATGCCGCGTCCTCGTTCAAGCAGTAGCAGTGGATTTCTGAGAGCCACAGAAAAGGCCTTTCGCAATGGCTGCGGAGAAGAGACGACACCGCTTTGTTTACCCCCGAGCTCCCGCCCGGAGCCATCCTCCAATCAGAGCGCGGCGAGGTGACGTCACGCCACCGGCCTGCGCGAAAGAGCAGACGGCGTGCCCTCTCTCTCGTTTTACCCCGCCGAACCCGCTGAACTTCCCGGATGTGTGGAGAGGGCGCTGCGGGCGAACAAAATGGTGCCGCCCAGAGAGCGCTAAATGGAATGGTCTATAGGCTCCCTACGGGAGCCAGAGTTGCGCATTTGTTTTCCCCGCGCCGCCACGCCGATATTCGCCGAGATCCATCACGTGAGGAGCAAAGCATCCGGTGACGTGCAAGAAAGCCACCTTTACGGTCGCTCCGCCGACGTTTCTCGCGCCCCGGCGTATGTTCCCCTGCGTTCCGCCTCCTTTTCCTCCTCTCCTGTTTTACTCGCGCGGCGGCGCGCGCGGCGCCGCTATTCGCCAAATTTAGTCACGTGAGGAGCAAAGCATCCAGGGCTTGCGGGGAAGCCGGCGCTACGGCCACTAGGCTAAATGCGCAACTCTGCTACCGTAGGTAGCTATACAGGAACTCTACTCAGTGCCGAGTTTTAGCGCCCCTTAGCGAGAGGCGTTTTCACTAAGCGGCACAAAAACTCGGTCCTTCTACCTCGTCGGGTTCTGTTATCCGTAGGTGCGTGCCAGCTCAACGCGCTTCCTGGTTTCAAGCGCGTTCACGCTGTAAAATGTTTTTCTCTACAGGTAAAGAATACTGAAGAAGTCAAATTCATTCATTAGTTTTTTTGTTGATTTTTTTTTTAGTTTGCGCAGCCAACACCTGATGGCATTGTCTGTGCCCGCGCGCCGCCAACTCCATAGATGGTGTTGGCGGCGCCCAACCTGGTGCAGCGCGGAAAAAACGGAAAAAAGAAACCCGAGTTCCAGGCACTGCCACGAGGCGCCGCTGAAACTGGGCCATCCTGGAGGTGAGCGCTGGAGTGTTTCCAGATGTAGCGCTCGTAAGTAAAGAGTAGGTCGTGTTCGCAACTTTCCTATCAAAATGACAGTCATGTGGATGATCCTTGTTAGACAGCGGTGCGACGCTGGGTCTGCGACGCGTAAGTAATTCTAGTGTTGGTATATACGAGCAGTATTAGAGCCTTGCTATGGCGTCTGGAACTCGTCTCCGACTGGTGGGTTTAACGCGTCCGAAAAAGTGGTTTCTCAAATTCCGCCTGAGGACGTCATAGAAGTGTCTTGCTGTCACCAGTCGCGATCCTGGTGGCGTCCCAGCGGCTGTGGTCTATGTGGCAGACACCTGTTCTGCTGCTTGTCGCTCTCCAATGCGGCAGTCCAGGGAAATCTTCAACAGCAAGAAGTTGGCACGCCGTGACGACAGCGACAGTCGCGTTCGCTTCTGCTACTCGCAGCTTCTTGTTAGCCTTTCTACGACCAACAGCCAGGATCGCAAAATGCAACAGCATGACACTTCGGCTTCTGTGAGGTAATTTTTTGCGACTTCGGGACCACTTTTGATGTATGGGCAGCAGAGGACGCTAAACACATTTCGAAGACGCGCTCCAGGCACCATAGCCTTACTCTGTTTGTGTTTTTTTACGTGAAGCCAATCATGCAGGAGCTAGAGAGCGCGATTCTCACACCACGGTACTACCATCGCTGAAAGTTGCGAATAGTATAGACGCTTTGCAGCAGCTGTGCATGGACGCCGCCATAACTGACCTTCAGTTTTTGTTTCCTCTAATTTCGTTTATTCCACTTCATCATTACCATAGCAGGTCAGGTTACTGCCATATTAGATTCAACTGTATCATTTTCTAAAGCATCGGCCTTTTCAGAGGGTCGTTAACTGCCATTTCAGTTGCTCGGCATCTCGGTAAGACAAGAGAAGGTCAGTAATGGCGGCTGTAATTTGGCGCGTGTGCAAAGCGTCTATAGCTTGCAAGTGTCGCCACTGCTGGTTACTGACGTTTATTTCTACTTTCTGGTTCCTTCGAACTACAACTTCTCCGGTGTGAAACTGTGGGATTCGACTTGCCTTAAGCCTGATTCACATGGTGCGATTTTCTTCTGCGAAATCGGTGAAGCGATGAACCGCACATGCGAAATTTCGCCTTTCCTTTCACATAGAATGAGCACATATGCGATTTTCCACACTTGCGAAGCACATGGTTGGAGCCCTTCAATTCGTTTGAGGATACTAATTTCGATATTTAACAAAATTATAAAATTTTCAGATTTATTTATTAGCTTCTGGTAAAAAGTACGCGGTATACTTATATTTAGGGCCGATTCAGACGTTTGCATCGACTGCATTCGCATCAACGAAAACGACGAAAACAACAAGTACGACGATTGCGACAAGGACACCGGGAGACTTACAGCTCATAACTGCTTGAGCAAGCCAGTTGTTGCGTTGCTTGGCATGTCGCGTTAAGGCGAACAGTTGTCCCGGTGGCTTCGTCACGTGGACGATGTTCCATATTGAAATATGGGAAGTAGCAGCGCGCCTTGACTTTCATAGAGCATGATGGCCGCTACTCTAGATGACGGCGAGACTAGGAGACTAGGGAGAAGGAAGTGACGGCAACGACACAGCAAACGCAGATTGGGTGTTGATTTCGTTTTCTTCTGTCAACATCCAATCTGCGTTTGCTGTGTCGTTGACGTCACTTCCTTCTCCCTAGTCTCCTGGGAGTCCAAAAAGCGCAACATAGCACCCCAGACTGCTCTGTAAAAAGGAATACCTACTTCTGCGGAAAAAAAAACTGCTGCTCCTAGACGGAAGCCCGCGGTGATGGTGGGTCAGGCCGTGCTGGCAAAACAGAGCTAAAGAATCGGAGTTTTACTCATTGGTAAGTCGACTTGTGCTTTTCTGCGAGCAGGTTTCTGGAATACTTTTTCTCTGCAGACCCTCTTTATGCTGCACAGGGACCCGGAGCAGTTTCGAAGATATTACCGGATAATGCCGAACGCCTTCGAAAGGCTCCACGCTCGCCTGGAAGCAAAGCTTACGAAGCAATATGTCGTCAGAGAGCCCATTTCGTCGCGGGTGCGGCTTGCTATCACTTTGAGGTAAAATGGTATTCTCTTTAAACTGCACTGTTTGGAGTGAATACGAGGTGCAATTAAACTGGTTTATATGGCGAACTCATTACTAGTTTCTCGGCTTCCAGACATTAATATACACAGCAATGTTTTTGTTTTTATTCAGGTACCTGTCATTGGCAACGTCAATGCAGGATCTTGCACTGCAATTCAAGGTTGGAGTGTCAACAGTGGCATACATCGTGCATGAGAGATATCCGCACATATGAAAGGTGCTTCGCCCAAAACACATGAAGGTAACCAAAGAAATCTGATTTTGTTTTTGGTAACTTGTGGAAAAGAGGACAGTTTCACATGGAGCTATTTTAGTTTCGATTTCGCAGTTGCGACGGCGCTGTTGCGGCAAACAGGCAGGTTCAATGCGATTATGAAATAATCGGAGCTGCGTCAATTGTCAAACATCTTTCGTAACGTCACCAGCGCCGCTGCGACGGTACGAAAAGACAGCCAAAAAAACGCGCCTCATCCAAAACCAACCGTATTTTTAATGTCGCATGCATGCTGTGAAAGAGTCGCTGGCGTCTCGTAATGAAAAAAAAAAAACACTTCAAAATGGAGGTGGTATTCGGTCGTGTGGTATTCACGGGGGGCCATATCTTGCGCCGGTTGCTGTTGAGAGCACGTGCTGTTAGTGAATTCGCACAACGCTTCTGCAACGTATATTTCATACCGTCAAGATTGTTTATCTTTGCCAGCAGTACGTAGCAGTTCTTTTTGAGCTCTAGCTGCGAATAATGCGCGCCAGTACGGCGTCCACTAAGTACCGCTTTTAAAGATGTAGATCATTACGAACAACAAGACTCACAGTGGTGGTGTTGGGAAATTGATGAAGTCAAGTTCCCCCCCCCCCCCCCCCTGCCCCGGTGCAGTCTTTCTACACACTACCAAAGCACGGAATCATCCTGAATTCTAAATCAGGGGGTGTTGCAATTATTCGGGTTGGGGGGGGGGGGGGGGGGGAGGCTGTTGGGAGGGGGTGGCCTTAGGTCTAGATGCATTGGTCAAGAAATTCTGGGGGATGTCGCCCCCAACCTGGAGATAAATAGGGGCTGTTGGAAGGGGCTGGCGTTAGGTTTATATACATTGCTTAAGACATTCTGGGGGGGGGGGGGGGGGGGTCACACCCCACCTGGAGATAATTATGGGAGTCAGGTGTACAAATCACTGCAGCAAACTCGTCCTTTACAGCTGCTCCTAACTATTCGCAGCCGAAATATCTAAATGAATCATGTTGAAAGCTGTACTGTTAAAAATGGTTTCTCAAAAAGTTTACACAACAGAGTGCCATTGATTTGTGATTATAGGGACGAACTTGGCGAAGGGAGGGCTGCAGACCTGAGGATATTGAGGGCCCCACTGCTATTACTGTGCCACCTTCGAAAGACGGGGTCACACATTACGCATCCTACGAATACAGTTTGCAGACAAATAGTAATTCGAGGCACCGCAGCATCCCTGCTTTGTATGTCGCACGGCAACCAATGAAAGGAGCAGCCTGGCAGGCGGCTTATAAAGCACGGATGCGTCAGTGAGTCGCGTTTGATCGATGTCTGTAGACTGTTTTTTGTCTTTTGTATAAGCAGTCTGACACCGGCCTGACTTGGGCATAATATGATAGCTTACAAAAGTAGGTGGTGAGTGCCTGGAGCTGGGCTAGTTGGTTAAACATGCTTCTGAAAGTTTCCAACTGAACGTAGAAAAACAGTATATATATATATATATTTTATGTATATATAAAAACTAAAAGTGGAAGCCGTTTACAACTCCCTGTAACACCGAATTAGAGAGCAGCTCTTGAGGAGGAGGAGGGAAGGGTACTGGGGGGAGGTCACGTGACCTTGGGGGTCACGTGACGACGCCGATGATGCCATCAGTGACGTCACTGATGACGTCATCAGTGACGATGACGATGCTAATTCCGATGACGTCATCAGTGACGTCACTGATGATGTCATCAGCGATGATGACGATGGCGATGCGGATGTCA